TGGTGAACTATAACATAACCTGTATAAATTCTATCACACAATTCATGTTAAACAAAGTTGAAATAACAATATGGAGAAACTATCACAATTATAATACATTGTAGGTATATAAATGGAAGCAAAAACAAGGAATGGAAGAAAATGTGCAAAAATTAAACACACGGGTGTGGGTGGGTTGTGAGAGGGTGTAAGCATTTAAACAGATAACATTCAATTTATATAATAATAATATATATTAATAATATAATAATTATAATAGCACCACTGTTTTGCCACTAATCAGGTAAAGAATTTTGGTATCTGTTTCTACTTTGCATCCTTCTCTCTAAGAAATGTTTTTATACATATCTTCATATAGCCTATGTGAAAAAAAAAGAAAAAAAATCCTAATATTCCCTAAGGCATTTCTCCTACTTTGAAGCTACTTCAAGTTAATTTCAACAATCCGCTAAAAAATGAAAGGGAAAGAAAGATATTAAAAAGTGAATCTTTGAACTGGGCAACTGATAAAATGAAAAGTGAAGTGAAAGTCACTCGGTCGAGTCCGACTCTTTGCGACCCTATGGACTATACTGTCCTTGGAATTCTCCAGGCCAGGATACTGGAGTGAGTAGCCTTTCCCTTCTCCAGAGGATCTTCCCACTCAGGGATTGAACCCAGGTCTTCTGCATTGCAGGTTGATTCTTTACCAGCTAAGCCACAAGGGAAGCCAAGAATACTAGAGTGACTAGCCTATCCCTTCTCCGGGTGATCTTCCCGACCCAGGAATCAAACTGGGCTCTCCTGCATTGCAGACAGATTCTTTACCAACTGAGCTATCAGGGAAGCCTGATAAAATGAAAAGTTCATGTTAATTGCGTAGAGTTTAGACCTGGCAGTGAACTGCTGATAAGAATGTGCAGACTGCTACCCCCTTGCTATTATCATGCTTCTTTTCTTAAGAAGAACTTCAAAAATATGACCGTAGTTCGGATAGTCCATTCTAACAGCCATTTTAACTTACAAAACTAAAGTTCTTGATTTAGTAGAAGAGATGGACCCAGAAAAAATGAAAAAGTACTGAAAGTATGTCTGTACAGATGCTTGACATGGAAACCTTAAGGCCACCTATTGGAAGTAGAGAAAAAGCACTCGCAAAGATGAACAATAATCCACAAACTCAGAGTAAATGTCTAGACATACACACAGAGTTAGAAGAACTTATGTGAATTAAGAATTTCAAATTGTTTTTCAAGCACTTTATTTAATGCTGACTTTGCAAATGGAGTTTTAATCTCTCCAATAGATCACACTCTGATAATAAAAGTTTGCATTAAGAAAAAGGAATTATATAGCCATCATATAATTAATAAGCTGAAAAATTAAAATTTTACATAAAAATTGAGATTGTAGAAATTAAAAAAAAACAAAACCCAAAAGAGCAGCTATAGTTTACAACCCTACACAATTTATTGAGACCAGTTCTTCAAAATTTAAAAACGTATTACCACTGATAAAGATTTTCTTAACTTTCTACTTAAATGTTCCCACATTCCAAAATGTTCCATCAGGAAAAAGATTCACTTCCAAATGAAAGTTAACCACAGAAAGAGGTATAGCAAGCCCAGGATGAGAAAGGACAAACTAAAGCAGCACCCAGTGCTGACAAAGGAGAGCTCTATACATTTTCCAGCTCCAGAAATACCTTATCTCTTTCGCTGGATGCTTATAATTTTTACAAAAGAAACCCCACAAAGCAGGGTTTTATGTGTGTGGTTTTTGTCAGCAGTCAACTGGGATGCTTTACAGGAATGGAGATTCCAATCGCAAGTCCCAGGAATTCTAAGTCAATGGGTCTGGAAAGAGCCCAGATATCTGGAACGTTAGCATGAAATGTAAATAATGGCCTTAGAGAGAGTAACCCCATTCTCTTTCTCACAGGATGCCATTCAAACAGAAAGAGATTAGTTTAATTATCTGAGCCAATCAGTGGCAGAGCAAGAATGAAAACCCAGAACTGCTACCACCCAGCTCAATCTTCTTTGCTCTAAATAAGCTTCCAACCTTCCATTTTAATAACGCTTCAAGATAAGCTGGAGCAGCTACCCTTCCACCTCTATCCACTGTTTGTTTACTCCCTCTGGAGAAACTTCCAAAGTAAATTAGTAAAACTATTATATGTATAAATAGGGAAGGCTACCATGCTCCTCCATCCATGGGATTGTCCAGGCAAGGGTACTGGAGTGGGTTGCCATTTCCTTCTCCAGAGGATCTTCCCGACCCAGGGCTCGAACCTGGTCTCCTGCATTGTAGGCAGACGCTTTACCGTCTGAGCCACCAGGGAAATAGTTCAAATAGAGGCAAGAAAAATGAAAACAGTTCATATGTGAGGGAGGGGGGTATACATCAGCTTTCTTTTTTTATTCTATTTATACTTTAAGTTAGGTGGGCAATAAAAATCACTGTTTTTAAAATTAAGTTTTGATGCATGAACTTAAATTAGATCCAATACAAATTAAGTTACAGAGATGCAAATCTAACACCTCTTACATTTTCACAGTTTTTTTCCTATCATTTGAAAAAATAAGATTACTTCATGTATTGTGTGTATAAAACTTTTACATCTATTTCACTATCTTTTAATGCTTTTCCTAAAACACAGCTAAAAGCCCTCTGCATTCAGGAGAAGGGCTCCTTATTTAGTCCATCACTCAAGCTCTTTATCTGCTCAACCACGTGAGAAAATCCATGAGCAACTTTCCTTTCGAAAGAAAGATACATACCAGGATATAAAATAGATGAAACTGGAATATGTCAAGGCTTAACCATGAAGGGCCTTAATTTATCAATCTAGTCTTGAGCCAACTAGTTCCTGAAGACATGACTCAAAACCAAGTCCTTTAAGACCTAGCTCCATATAATATGATGCAATCTTTTAAGACCACATATACAAACAGTTGTATGCACTTTCTAAGGGTGCATAAACAGGCATGTTAATGCATTGAAAAAGTCTTTAAATATACACTCATTAAAAATAGGTTTACTTCTTGAAAGATGAGGAAGAGTCCGGGACGAATAATTTAATTTTTTTAGGAGATTTCATTTATTACTTGCATATGAAAGTGTTTCTAATTCCCAGACTTCATTAGATGCCATTAGACTTTTCTTCCTGGAAAAGAAGTCTGTGTCCCCCTCAGTAAATGCGTTGCTTTAAGTGTATCTGACATGTTTACTGACTGCATACTCTGAACCACCTAGGCAACTAAGTTATTAAAGGAAGGAGTCCTTAGGCTATTTCTAAAAGGTCATAAGCCAGAAATTTTCTTTTCAACATACACTTTAAAAAGACACTTTGATGTAGTGACAAAGAAGCTAGGCTTAGAGTTATAAAGTTGTTGTCTTAAATTAAACTCTCCATGATGAACTGTAACTCTTTAACAAGTTACTTAATCCTCATTCTCCTCATCTGTAAAACATGGATGAGAATATCTTCTCCTACGTTTGCGGAGAAGATTAAAAAGAAATGTTTATAAATTAATTAGCACAGTACCTGGTACCTAACAAATGATGGTCATTTGTTTGAAATATTAATATGAAAGCAAGAATTTCATATAATTTCTTGCTAACAAAAAAGTATTAACAAAACTTTAAAAACACCTACTTTTAAAGAATAACATAAACTCAGACAATCTAAGTAAACAGTGAAACTAGTAATTTGAAGTCCATCAGGTCTGTGCAAGTAAAAAATGAAAACTTCCATTAGTTTGGCAGAGAAACTTCCCTTCTGATACATGCAAATTATGTATTTCTAATCTTTATTCCATTTTTTTAAAAAAGTTTTAATCATCTTACTTCACAGACTGAAAATGTTCATATTCAATTCATACACATTATTAGGCTGTACATCACTACTCTTCTTGAAGAATATGCTAAGTATCCAACTTATTAATATGCCAACACTGCTCAATGATGCTTTCCACAGTTAATTGGCTAAGAAATCTTATCCCCAAAACTGTAATGAAGAAGTTCACACTGAAGTTCACAGGAAAGCTTGGATAAAGATCTATAATTTTTTTTGAAACTATTTATTTTGAGTTGTTATCTCTATTTTGTTATGAAAATAGTCAGCATTTATATTTTACCTTATCATAACCCATTATAATTTATCACAAAGTAACTTCATCTTAGATCAGATATCCAAACACATCACTTAATTCCATAGATAATGACTTAGCATCTAATATAGTCTAGGCTGAAAGATTAAAAATTCATTCCTAAAAAGGGGTAAGAAAGTAATTTTCTTATACATATTAAAAGCCAGATATGTTAGAGAAAAAGTCTACAGAATCAAATGAAGTTAACAGAATTTGCTAAAACTTTAACGTCAGTCTCCTGAAAATGTTTAAATTCTCCACTGAATTCTTTGATGTTAACCAACATTAATACCCCAACAATTTATCTTATTTATTTATGTGATATGTGTATGTATGCATGTGCACATGGGTGTTTGTGTGTATATCAATCACTTGCAATCTCCTCTGCAAGTGACATATCTGCTGCAAAACATATAAAGCAAAATCCTGTAAATTCAAGAAACTATGTTACCTGTGCCTCCTTTATAATTTTCTGTCACAAAACAAAAGAATTACAACAGGCACAGGAGGAGGTCTATTTCTTCAACAGCTATAATAGTTAACTGGTTCTTAATTATTCTCTCAAGTAGTTTTGTAATGTTACTTCAGCTAAAGAATACTTTTCAAAACTCAATTTTCATTGATTCTATTTCCTCAGTTCATTCAAAGAGTGACATCTAGTCTCAAATTTGATGTAGATTACCTTTTTGCTGCTAGTGGAGCTGAAAAAATTCAACAGAGCAACTCTTCGTTACATTTAGCGGCGTATACAAAGCAGAGCAAAGCTTCATCAATGAAACACCAGTAAGTCAAACAAAGCACGGCTGTGATTGTAGTCTGTCATCTTTGTAAGGAACCACAGTCTGCAATCACTGTAACATGGCTTACCTGTTCATTTTTGCAAAGCCACACACTGTTTCCACTTAACACAGTAAAAATTTTAGCTTTATAGCCTCTCAGTTCAAGATATCCACATTTCTCAGGTGCAATAGCAGCTTGAGACTGCGAAGAAAGGGCCTGTAACTTCAGTGCATTTAATAGTAGGCTGATCCAGTCATTTCTTTCCTCTGAAAATAAAAACAGGAGAAAATATATACCCATGCTTAATAAGTTATAAACACAAAGAAATATGGAGCAAGACTGACTTTCTCTGGAACAGATCATTTACAGATCCTTCCCCAGAATCACAATCTAAATGCTACTGTTGGCAGGGCAACAGCCCAATTCTGTTAGGTTATTAGTAATTCCTTGGTATAACTCTGCAGATGCTCAAGTTCATAACAGGGAAACCTGTGTATCCCCAAGTTCAGCAACTGCAGATTCCACCAACCAAGGATCAAAAACGTCCTCACTGTGGGATCCACGGTTACAGAGGGCCGACTGAACTCAGTTGTCCTGTAACCAGCATCACTGGCTTCACCTGGAAATTGAATACAAATGCAAAATCCTGGTCCTCCTCCAGAATGGATGAATCAGAATCTTCATTTAAAGATCTCCAGATGATGCATATACATGTTAACATCTAAGCGGCATTGTTAGATTACTCATGAAATTGGACTGTCTTTTTTAATATAAGAAAGTAATACGGCTACTGAACAGGTAACAGATTGTACCCAGCAATACAGTTACTAAAATATCCAGAAAAGCTTGCTTTCTAGCAGGCATTTGGAACCAACTCAAGAGTGCGCTTGCCTTGATATTCACTCACCCATACCTTTGACTAACAATAGCATCTCATCTGTTAAAACCTGTTCTCTCACTCCTTCCACAAAAACTACATGACCTTCAACTACAACACACTGTGTTACAGACATAGGAATTCAATCCAGTCCCCAAAATGCAATCAAAGTTGTAAGTCAAGTTAGATATGAACACATAATAGAACACGGAATACTGTAAATGTCATACCAATGGTATCAAATAATATATGAATCAACTCAACGGAGGTGAGTGATTTGCTGAAGGTCATATAGCAAGTAAGTATTTAAATTAGGAGAATCAAATGTTTTAAGTCTCAGACAATTGTTCTTGACACTATGAGGGGCAAAAAAAAAAAAAGGATATTTGTGTGAGGTCTTGAGGATGAGGAGGAATTAAAAAAAAAAACCTGGAGTTTGGAAGAAAAACAAGCAAAATAGTATTTTAAGCAGAGGAAACAATGAACATCTGCTCAGGAGATAATTTATAAATAAGTAAATTTATAATTTTGAACTCACAAAGAAGTGATGGGAAATATGGCTGGAGATCCTACAGTGCCTAGGGTAAGGAATTTGGTCTTTATTATGGAAGGGAAAGAAAACCATTTCCGAATTCTTAGCAAGAAAGGGACAAGATTAGGATGATGACAGACCAAAGTGGAAGGCAGGAGGTGAGGAATAAGGCAATAGAGACTTAAAGTACAATGAAAATGGAAAAAAAACAGCTGTGGTTCTGAATATGTTTGAGTTTGTTTGACAGGTGTTCATCAAAAAGTGAATTAATTACTCAGAATAAAAGGTAGTTTGGAACCATGAATCTACCAAAGAAAATGGAAGGTTCTATTAACAGAACCACCTGAGGTTTTCAGCACCCTAGCATGAGCATCTAGGTAGATGGATAGCAGTATGTGAATAAAGGCAATCCATACAAGAGAATCAGAGAAGGCAATGGCACGCCACTCCAGTTCTCTTGCCTGGAAAATCCCATGGATGGAGGAGCCTGGTAGGCTGCAGTCCATGGGGTTGCGAAGAGTTGGACTAGACTGAACAACTTCACCTTCACTTTTCACTTTCATGCATTGGAGAAGGAAATAGCAACCCACTCCAGTGTCCTTGCCTGGAGAATCCCAGGGACGGGGGAGCCTGGTGGGCGTCAGCACGTCTATGGGGTTGCACAGAGTCAGACACGACCGAAGTGACTTAGCAGCAGCAGCAACATACAAGAGAATACTCATGAATGTGGATAAATGTTTAACGTAAAAGGAGAAGAAATGGTATACATTTGAAGTATAACTGATTCTAGGAGGCTGGAAAATGGGCCGGGGGTGGGGGGTGGGGGGTGGGGAGACAAATGTGAAAGTGGTTTTATCAAGGTGAAAAGGAAAAAAAAAAAAAAAAACAGACTGAATTTCAGGTAGCAAAAATTTTTGAGAAGGAAAGAGTAAGGTGGACCCAAGTTTGGGAGACTGCCTGGTATCTCAGACCCTTTTAAGACAGGTCTGGTGAGAGGTAATGTCATTTTAGGTTGAAATTAAGTCTCCATACCAGACCTACTTACATTTCAACATGGAACCCCAGTTACTTTATAATACAACTCTTAATTTTTAAAGTATCTTCATTCTTGCTCACCTTCAAAACTACCAAAGCTATTTAGGTGTGTCTTTAATGACCAAGGCCAAAGTATTTATTAAAAACCCATTTAGTGATATTTTATTGCAGGTATTACATAACCCCCAAGTAACAGTGCTTATTCCTATATATCAGGACAAAATATCTCTCAAGTTTCTCCAGCATCATTATAAAGTAAAAGACAGGAAAATATTCAAGAAACTAAGCCCATGTCAATCCAGAGTAGCTACTCTACATTTTCTTATTGTTTAGTCACTAAATTGTGCCCAACATTTTGGGACCCCATGGAATGTAGCCCGACAGGCTCCTCTTGTCTATGGGGTTTCCCGGACAAGATACTGGAGTGGGTTGCCATTTTCTTCTCCAGAGGAGGTTCCCAACCCAGGGATCGAACCCATGTCTCCTACACTGGCAGGAGAATTCTTCAACACTGAGCCACTTCGGAAGCCCTACTCTACATTTTACATCTGCACAGACAGACTGCTCTGGGATAGTGTATTACATTTTCAGTAACAGCAACACACTTTCCACTTGGTGATTATTTGTGATCATTAGGTACACACAGATACTCCTGCCAAGTAAATGGTATACAATGTTTTCTGTTTATTTATGTTAATCCACACAAATCACTGACAGAAATGTGGGCCATGATTTAAAGAACTGGGCCAAAGTGCTTTTGGCTTTCAGACTACTGTTAGCAGATATCTCAGTTTATCAGGGAACAATTTGGAATTGACAATTGTATTAACTGTTAGTCTTAAGTACATTATGACTCCATCTCAACAAATGGTGCCCTCATAGCCTAGAAGAATTCTCTAGCTCCTGAGGTTCTCACTTGCTAATAGAAAGTAACAATCATGAAGAACAGGATTGAATACTAATGTGCAGTTTATACTTCATAACCCCTGCCAAAGGAGATAAACAGTGAGACAGACAATTCAGACACAATAAAAGAGATTACAAGTGTCATTGGTGTTTGCAAAGTGTGCATACTTGGACATGGGGAATATGCTTTGATAAGTTACAACATCCCAAAACAAATAATGATTTCCCTTTGGGCACAGGCAAAGCTGTATACTGTGCTGGATTCTGCCTGCTGTTCACACCAAGGTACCTTTATTCTGTCCAAAAACAAATGTTTGTTGAGTGTCTATCTTGATCTTATTAGCACTGTGCTAAGCATCATTCCCTCTGAGAATATGCTCTGACTGGGGCATGGCTTTGCTCTGAATAGAGCATTTCAGGTTGGAAAAAGAAAATAAATAAATAAATAAAAAGGACAGAGAAAACAAAATTGCCAGTTTCTTGTGATTATGCTAGAATGTAAATAAAAACCATTAGCGATCCCCTCAAGCCTCAAGCTAGTTAAGGTTTGTTGGAATGTCAACTCAAAGTACACAAATAAAAAGGTTAAAAAATCAACAGAGGATACTTAGCATCCTCTACATTCTACTGGATTTAGCAGTAGGGACATTCATTAGCAAAATAAGACTAATTACACGAGGGATTGCTACACAAGGGCCATGTAAAACATGAATAAAAGAATCTAACAAAATTCATATGTACTCTTAAAGTTTGATATAATCTAAAGATTCCTCAGTGTGACCCACGATCAATATTAGAGAAGGAATTATTACACACTATGGTTATTCTTATAATGGATAATGGTTCATTCATACGAATGTCAACTTAGCTCCAGCTATGTTCTAAGCCCTATTCTGAATACCAGGAATGAAGCAGTGAACAAGACAGCTCCTGGCCTTAGTCTCCAAAAGTTTACACTCTTGTAAAAGAAGGCAGTCAATAAAGCATATATATCACACACTGGCAATGCAATGGGATAAAATGCAGCGCAGGAAGAAGGGCGCAGAAAGTATTATTTTATATAGGATAACAGAAAAAAGCTCAGGAAGAAGGTGATGATTTTGCAAAAGCCTGAAGGAAGTGGAAGTGAGCAAAGGGGGAGGATGACTGGAGGAGTGTTCTAGGACACAGAAAGCGGAAAGTGCCAAGGCAACCACAGGTCTGGCGTGTTCACAGGCCAAGAGGCCCCTGTAGTTGCAGCAGGGTGCGTGAGGGTGAGCGGAGACGAAAGAAAGACAGGTGAGACCCTGCATGGGCGTCTGGACCTCACAGAGACCACTCTCGGCGAGCTAGAAAGAGAGCATGTGAAGTGGGAGACAGGACCTGACTTTCTTGCTGGAGGCGCTCTCTGACAACCGTAATGAGAACATAACTGCTGTTGATCATGGGAGGTTATGACCGTCATCCCAAAAAAAGGAGGTTTGTGGGAGAGTGAGAACAGTGGAGGCGCTGAGAACCGGTTTGAGCCCAGGCATATTTCCAAAGTCACGCTGGTAAGATTTGTTGAATCTGGCCTGGATGGAGACAAGGTAGGAAAAGGTTCGACAGGGACCCCAAAGTTTGAGGTCTGTTATATTATGACAGGCAATCAAAATACACCAAAGAGAACTTTCACTCCTCTAGTTCTTCCTCCAGATGACAAACGTGCCATGCCTTGCTTCTGAGAACAAGGAAGATTTCAAAACAGGTAAGTCTGTTTGCCCAAAACAGGTAAGGAAAATTTATATGCTTCTCATCCCAAACTCCCCAGTGTTCTTTAAAAAAAAAAAAAAAATTAGTTTTGCAGTTTCACAAATGCCACTAGAGGGCTGTATGATGCTGCACAGAAACTGAATTAAGAGACTGACTCACTTGCCTCCCAGGAGTCCAAAGCCGCTAAGGTGGAAATCTACCATGGAATCTGCAAGTCAGGGGCGGTACTGAAAATGGTCCTTGCAAGGGAATGACTGCTCAGAATTTTTTTTTTTAATTGAAGTATAGTTGATTTACAATGCTGTGCTGATTTCTGCTGTGCAACAAAATGATTCAGTTATACATATATACACATTCAATTTTAAAAATATTCTCTTCCATTGCAGTCTGTCCCAGGAGACTGGATCTAGTTCCCTGTGCTATATAGGATTTTATTATTTATCCAGTCTAAATGTAATAGTTTGCATCTGCCAACCCCAAACTCCCAGTCTATTCCTCACCCTTTCTACCACTTGGCAACCACAAGTCTGATCTCTACATCTGAGTCTACTGATGTTTTGTAGACAAGTTCATTTGCACCGTATTTTAGATTCCACATATAAGTGACATATTGTATTTGTCTTTCTCTTTCTGACTTTTGTCACTTAGCATGATAGTCTCAAGTTGCATCCATGTTGCTGCAAATAGCATTATTTCCATTTTTTTTTACAGCTGAGTTGTATTCCACTGTATATATGCACCACATCTTCTTCACCCATTCATTTGTTGATAGCCATTTAGATTGTTTCCATGCTTCAACTATTGTGACTAGCGCTGCTATGAACACTGGGATGCATGTATCTGTTTGAATCATAGATTTGTCCAGGTATATTCCCAGAAGTGGGATTGCTGGGTCATATGGTAGTTCTAGTTTTCTGAGAAACATCCATACTGCTTTCCAAAGTGGCTGCACCAATGTCCATTCCCAACAACAGTGTAGAAGGGTTCCCTTTTCTCCACATCCTCTCCCGCATTTGTTATTTGTAGAATTTTTAATGGTGGCTCTTCTGATGGGTGTGAGGTGGTGTCTCATTGTAGTTTTGATTTGCATATCTCTAATAATTAGTGATGTTGAACATCTTTTCATGTGCCTCCTGGCCATCTGTATGTCTTCTCTGGAGAAATGTCTATTAAGGTCTTCTGCTCATTTTTCGAGTGGGTTTTTTGTTGTTAAAGTTGTATGAGCTGTTTGTGTATTTTGGAGATTGAGCCTTTGTCAGTCAGATCATTTGCAAATACTTCCTCCCATTCATAGGTCTTTTTTTCTTTTTTTAATGGTTTCCTATACTATGCAAAGCCTGTAAATTGGATTAGGTTCCATTTGTTTATTTTTGCTTTTATTTCTATTTCCTTGAGAAACTAACCTAAGAAAGCACTGGTATGATTTATTTCTGAGAAAGTTTTGCTGATGTTCTCCTCTAGGAGTTTTATGGTGTCATGTCTTATGTTTAAGTCTTTAAGCCATTTTGAGTTTATTTTTGGACCACTCAGAATTCTTAAGCTTTCTTCTAATTATGAGAACTACCCACTGAAAACATCCCCTGTTTCTTAAAGTAACACAACACCTGTGTTACCACAGGTGTCAAGGGAATATGTGTTAACTGAAGGATCATTAACTGTTACAATCCTCTGAGCAATTCCAGTAGTTCTGCTTGAGGAGGAAAGGAATCAGACTAAATTTTCTAGGTTGAGGAAGAGAATTCAAGACGTTATAATTTCAATAAAATTAACTTGCAGCTAAGAAAATAACATTTCACTAGGAAACCCAGGGGAATTGAAACCTTAGAAAATCTGTGGGGAAAAGCTGCCAAACTGTAATCTTCTCTTAGCAATGCCAGTGGGTGATGCGGGAGTGTAGAAATTCAGACACTGGTTTCCGGGCAGACGAAGGGAGCTGTGTATACAGGTCACTCGGAATCTTTCCACCAACAGTAAAGAATTCATCTCTGTTGGATGTGAAACTACTGCCCCTTTCTGTCCTAAACTTTGATTTTGCTTCTTAATAAGACTGAAGCAAAGTTTTCCATAAGCAAGTATGATTGATTTCTCAGTTTCCACCAAATAAAAACTAATCAAGCATTTGTATACATGGAAGGAGGACAACAAGACAAACACTTAATAAAAACACATGCAGCATCTTGCTGAAGGTTTCCTAATAAATATATAGACACATGTGCCATTGACATATATATATATCTATCTACACTTATCTTTAAAAAATGTGAGCTGTTACTATGTAAAAACAACTTTCAATGAAAATAACACAGTAATTCTATATGGATAGTCTGTTTTCACTGAAGCAGTATTTTCATGGTTTTAAAAATTAAAGACGTAAGCCTTATTCAACACACAAAAATTCATACTAAAGTTCATGAAATTTTTATACTAAGCTTACATCATAAAGATGAACTCCATACCATAGAGGGATTTACTGGTCCATTGTAAACATGTAACTTTTAAACATGTGTGGGTTGATCCATTTTATTTCAATAAAATGTGTCTGTTTAATTTTTAACTGCCACAAGTAAATATGGCTAAACAGATTTTCACACAAGTTGCAGCTTTATTTAGTACATCTATCTTAAAATGCAGACTCTGTGGCATATGTGAATTTTACTATGAGAAGCCAAGGGGAAGAGGATAAGCACCTCAAAGAAATAAGCATTTAGCTCGGCCAGTGGAGGCCAGAACATAAGGATAGACCATTCTGATAGCCAGTTGACAGGAGCAATGTCGTGTGTTTTAAGAAAATACAGAAACAGAAACTGTGATATCAAATATATTTCTCTTACTGAGTATCACAACTATGGAAGACTTTCTGAATTTCAAGCAATGAGTCACAATACATATGTCTGTATCAAATACTCTAGGACAGGGGTTGGCAAACTTTCAGTGAAGGGTCAGAGAGTAAATTTCCTAGGCTTTCCTGGCCAGACAGTCTGCAGCAATTACACAACACGACACCGCGGCACAGAAGGAGCCATAGGCAACATGTAAATGAACGAGCGAGTCCGGGGACTAGGTAGTATTCACAAAAACAAGCAGTGGGCCAGATTTAGGTTACAGGCCAGTTGGCCAGCCTCAGCTCTAGGCGATGGTTCGTGACACTTTTTTTTAAAGAGCAGGTCAAGTGAGAAACACTTTTTACATTACACCTGGGCAGCATATACAATACACAGTATGATATGTGCATTCACGTATGTTTCACAGTATGATGCGCTTGCTGTAGGCACTGCACTTTGATACTCCTTATTCTATTTTATGTTTGTTTGGTTTTTGTTTTGGGGGCTTTGGGGGACACCATCTGAAACCACTAAGTTGATCTCATACATGGATAGTGAGTGACTCACAGTCTGAAAACATGTGGCTCCAGGGTGAACAGCATTGGGACTTATCCATTTACTGACTATCTCAAGTAATAATGGAAGCTTTTCAGTGACATATAATATTTACTGAATGTGTTCTATATGCCATGCATTGACATATATTCAAGGAATTTATAAAAGAGAAATATTGCCCCATAATAGCTAGTATTGTTGTTTATGTATAAAATGTATAAAATAGGATACTAACTGTAATACCTATAAACCTCGTAAGACTATTTTGAAAATGAAGCTTTTAGCGATACCAGATATTCAGTCATTTTTCCAAGTCACCAATATTCAAATAGTTACGTACCAAGAAGTACTTTTAAAAATCAAGTTATTATCTATATTAAAATGAAAAAAGCCTTTAAAATCTAATGCTTTAGGTAATGAAGATGGCCTTATCTATGTTATTTAAGAGCAGTGAGGTTTATAGTACTGATATATTGACAGTCAAAGTTACAACAGAGAACTTTTAACTCCCCTATCTCTACCTCTCCTGCACTCTTCCAAAAAAGATAAGATACAAAGGTTTAGAATCCATCCACAAACCACATGTCATTTTTAGATCAATTTTAGCCATCAACTGACCCACAGGATGATACAAGGTGGAAAAAAAAACAAAAACAAAACTCAAGGAATAGAAAAGATGCTCCAAAATCTGTATTAGAATGATTACTATGCCTGCATGTTCAGTTAAAATCAGCCACAGACAAACTTTGTAAAACCAATCTTTCAGTTGTTATTTTCCACATTAAATAACTACTTTGCATTATCAACAGCTAAAAGTGAGCTCCACAAGAGCAGAGATTTTTGTCTACTTTTTTTCATTGCTATACACCCCAAATTTCGAAGACTCCTCGGCACTCGGTAGATTTGCCCTAAATATTGGTTGCATGAAAGAAGAGTGAACAAACAACACTGCCTTGTCATCTTGTTTATGCTTTGATATCACGGCATTCAAAAACTAGTAGACAGTGCAAATTATTTAAAAGTAACATATTTAAAGATTACCTGCCATTTGTAGCATGCTTGTTAAACTTCTGACCGGGAAGATTTCTATAAGGATAGAGAAAGACTCTTACCTTCTTTTTCTACTCTAAAAACAAAAGTTCTTTGTGTTGTAACAACTTCGAATTTGTTGTCTCCTTGAACTCGTACCGTAGATATAGCAGAAAGGGGGATTATTCCTTTTGAATACTTCTCCTGTATTGGTTAGAGGAAAAGACACACAGAGAAGATACATCAAAATCCCCTTGATCAAAAATAGAATGGCATGGTATTTATAAGTGCTCCTTTCATAATCTCAATCTAAATGTTTAAAACTCACATACAAACAGCATATAGCCTCATATACACTTAATACCCCAGAAAGGAAAATATTAAGTATCTCTTCCAAGTGAGATGTCTTTTCAGTTTTCTCTTCATCTGCAATTAGGCAATGAATCACATCACAAACAATCATACTAGAATAGCATTACACCGTTCTAACAGCAGTATGTCCTTTGAAGAGTCTGGTCAAAATGATTTTGTGGTGTTTGCAGGCATCTGCTGGCCATTACAGGTACTGTAACTGAACCATTTCAGAACCACTTGATACACACTGCGAGCAAAAATATTATCCAACAAACCGGACTATTGGATTCTATCAATTAACCCTAGTATTCAATGCTCTGATGACAAAGATGTTAATCTCACACTGCATCACTTTTCAGTCTCCAGGGGCTAAAGAATAAAAAGATACGGATTCAGCTGTTTGCAATAGGTATATACACATTACAATTTTGAAGGTCATTCCTAAGACTCTCAATGACTTTCTCAGTCTGTGCTTTCCTGCACTATCCTAAACCATTTGGCATAATAATCACCCCACAATTTCAACTACTTCCCAACAATGTAATATTGACTGGGCCCTGTGTTGGAAAGAAAAATTCAGAGTACTTGTACAGTCACATTCATATAGCCGCAAAATGAAAAACAAAGATGAGAATTCTCAGTTCTACTTACAAGAAGTCAGACATATTTTCACAGAAATAGTGACATTTGAACCTGACATTAAGAAACCATAAGTTAACCAAACAGATAAGTGAGGAGGTGGGGTGGGGGTTGGAGGGATCCTGGCTGGAAAGATTCAGTAATAGAGGTGTCAAGTGGAGCAGTAAGAAGGGCTGCAGTGTGGAGTCAGAGATGAAGCTGAAAACATCCATCAAGGCCATATTATGAAAGGTTTTGAGTATCAAAAGAATCTGGACAAAGATGAGGCTGAAAATATAAATCAAGGTCACATTACAAAATGTCTTGAATGTCAAGACAGTTTGGACACAGCTTAATAAGGTTTCTTCTACAATTCTCTTCCAGCATCCATAGAACCATTACTTTTGAGTCAAGTCCCAAGGATCTGAAACAACTGGTTAGGAAAAGAATGTACTAAGTCATTCCATGCAGAGCACAAGTGTCATGTTCATATTCCTCCCAGTAGCAAACTCCAGCCATACACAGCAGATGGGTAAAAGACAGCTGCTATGAGCAGTAAGGCGGGTCTACTGGGAGGTTTCTCCTCTGCCAGTTAAGGACATACATTATATTCTCATGGTATTCCCTCTGAGTTACTTGACAGTTTCCTCTTCTCCGCTGTCTTCCTCTATCCCTGATCCCTGACTTCACGTATTCATCAAAACCCTATGCATCTTTAATGCCATCTTCAATAACAATGCCTTGAAAATGTCCCTTTGTCCTCTCAAGCAGCCAAAGTCAACTAAGATATTTGAACTGTGATTTAGGAATATGAGGTGATAACTTCCTAGAAAAAGGAGAGGGATGTCAAGGAATAAGTACTTACAGAATAACTTTTTCTTCTCCTTATTTTTCATTTTTGGGGTTTTAGCTTCTCTTCCTAAGGGAAAAAAATCCCTTCTTACTATTTCAACTACCAATTTTATGGGGAGAATTCTAAAATCTGTCTTCCTCTATTCCTTGTCTATTTCTATTCATTCCACTTCCATATTTTTGCATCATCCATGGTACATCTAACTGTCCCATAAGCACCTCAAACTCTAAAACTGGATTATCTCCATCTGTATTGGTCTATTAAGATGCCACTTCTCGGTCAATCAGTCTTCACCAGAATAGCCTTTGGCCTGGGCTGCTCTTCGGCAAGCACATGCCTTGAGACTCTCCTACAATGTCAACTTGCTCCCCGCCACTTCCCAATTCTTTCCAGTCACATGAGCCTTCTTGAAGCTCCCTGACACATCATGGTTCTGCTCAATCCAGTGACCCTGCAAGGCACCATTTTACATATCCATCTTCACATACTTACTGCTTCCACTTCTTTTCCTGTTTCAGCATATATATTCCTGAAAAAAGTCCTCCAACTCGGCTTTTCTCTCAGGCCCCTCATCCTGACCCAGGAAGAAAACCTTAATTTAATAGGAACCTGTGCTCCTCTATAACAATTACTAACTCTAACTTAAAAGATGATCTTTATATTTACTTGTGACCATCTGATTAATACAATCTTTCTAAACTGACTGTGCATCATAGTTCTATTTCCTTCATCACCTTTCACATAATCAATTCAGTTCAGTCGCTCAGTTGTGTCAGACTCTCTGCGACCCCATGAACTGCAGCACGCCAGGCCTACCTGTCCATCACCAACTCCCAGAGTCCACCCAAACCCATGTCCATTGAGTCGGTGATGCCATCCAACCATCTCATCCTCTGTCGTCCCCTTCTCTTCCTGCCCCCAATCCCTCCCAGCATCAGGGTCTTTTCCAATGAGTCAGCTCTTCTCATCAGGTGGCCAAAGTATTGGAGTTTCAGCTTCAACATCAGTCCTTCCAATGAACACCCAGGACTGATCTCCTTTAGGATGGATCAGTATTGTATATTTTCTGAATGAATGAATCTTATACCCAATCAATCACAATTATACAAACTGAAAGCTCATTTTTAGTATTTTTCTAAATTTATTTTTTTTAACACTTCCACTGGCCTATACAGCCTACATCCTGATAAATTAATGCCTGATTTACTTCACACTCTCCTGATTAGCTTCCCTACTTTCAGCTAGTGTTCCTTCTCACTTTCCCTGCATATTACTGTTCAGATGCCACAGCTGCATAGAATAAAGGAAAGATTCATGAAGAAGACCAAGATGGGCCTTGAAGTTTGCAAAGGATTTTCATGGACTGTAAAGTCTAATGGATTCAGAGGGAAGAGCAAAACCACAGAAATGAGACTACAGGAAAAGATATGCCCAAGTTTTTCGCAGTTGTACCCTGATACTGTTGAAAAAAGTCCCTGCAAAGACAGACACGACATGACTGGTTTAGCAAAGAAAAATCCAATAAATACAGGCAGGTACCAATCAGTACTGGACTACTAAGGGCTCTGGGAATTGACAGGAGGGAGAGACTGTCTCTCCATTGTCAGGCAGCCTGAGAGATGTGAAGGGGCCCGGCACCCTTGGAACAGCGGAAGGTTCTATCTGACTGTAAGTTTGTACTTGCTGAGACCAAATAACGAAAAATTCAGAGTATTCAAAAGCATTTATCACTTCTACGTGGTCCATTCTCAAGTGGCAGTTTGCTTAAGAATTAGAGGAGTTTATAAAAGTATATCTCTAATGGGATAATTAACTATTTGTTGAATAAAGTTTTACCATTAGCCCATTTTTCAGTAGAGAAAAATCAAGCAGCATTGTGGGGAAAGACACAGGGATTTTAAAAAGGAGATTTTCCTTCCACTAAATCTTTTTAGAGAATTTTTTTTTAAGTCCTTAAAAACATAATAACTCACCCACATATCTACAATAATGTTGTTTAACAGGTCAGTACTTATGGAAGAATAATAGAAAAATGAATCCCCCAGAAGTGATCAAAATGTACTTAAGAAGCAAAGTACTATGTCACTTGAACTTTAGGAAGCTGCAATTTCTCTAAAGGCTCATTTATAATCTATTATGAATTATCAAGGTCAATTTCAAAATTTGTTAACACTGTAGACATGACTTTACATTTCTCTCCCAGCACACGATCAAGACAATGCAGAGGGGGAGAAAAAGGAAACTCAGTGACACCAGGCTCAAAATGACTGCATTTTTCAGAGTGGAAAATTTTCCTGAAGGAAAGAAATTCTAAAGCATCCCCGGAGCCTATAACACACAGGTATTTAGGTCAAGTTTGTCATTTATCTACCACTTGCAGACAATGAAAGGACCACGGGGCAATTCTGCCCACAGCTGAGTGAGTAGAAGGTGAGTCAGATCTCTTGGCAGGTGACAAGATATCAAACCTGCTGGGATGATGCCATTTTCAGCAATACAATTGAAAAGGCCTTGCTGAGACATGATTGAGTGGCACTGAGAAAAGCAGAAGAAAACGAAGGGAATAGGCAACTCTGCAAACTTCCTCTGGAAAGCCCAGCCTCATGCCCTCAAATGTATATTTAAACCCTGGAAGGGGCTCCCCCGCTGGCTCAGAGGTGAAGAATCTGCCTGCCAATGTAGGAGACATGGATTCGATTCCCAGGCCCAGGAAGATCTCACACGTCACAGAGCAACGAAGTTTGTGTGCCGCAACTACTGGCCCTGTGCCCGAGAGCCCCGCAGCCGCAACGAGTGAGCCCAAGGGCCACAGCTCCTGACGCCCGCACGCCCGTGCCCTACAACGCGAGGAGCTACCGCAGGGAGAAGCCCGCACACGGCAACCAACACCCACTACAGCGAAAAAACAGCTTCTTAAAGAACACCGAAAGCCCCAACTTAGAGGTGCTCAGGACCACAAAAACTCCACAGCCCGCTGAGATGGCAGCTATGGCCCCACCTGTGCCCTCTTTTCACTGGCCTTACAATCCTCTCTTCCCAGTCCACCCACCGATCCAGCCCTTCAGCCAGCAGCGTCACAACCGAAACCACATCTCCTTTTAGCAAACACCTAATCTAGTGGTCTTGGGGTTCTTTTGCCAACATGACACCAATCATCTGAATAGTAAAAGAACAAAATGCCACAGGAAACAATTAAACGTTTTAAAAAATTTTAATGTAAAGTTATAGAATTTGTAATATATATATATATATGTGTATATATATATATATTTTTTTTTGGCCATACAACACGGCTTAGGATCTTAGTTCCCCAACCATGGATCAAACCCAGGCCCTTGGCATTGAGAGCATGGAATCCAAAGCACTGGACCACCACAGAAATCCCTGTAATAATTCATTTTATCATAAACTTTTTGTCTCGATCTCAAGCCAAGGCTGCATCATCTTTATTACATCAAGGCAGGTAGGTGCTCGTCTCCTCAGTGCAGTTGAGATGAGCTTTTAAAGGACAGAATGAGTCTGGTTGGTCAGAGATACTAGACATTCTCTCCCCCAGGAGGGGATAATGAGCCTGATGACAGGGAAGCCTGCCTCACTTCTGAAGTTTCCTTCCTCATTTCAAGCAAATCAGAGAAGGGCACAGGTGATGAAGAAAACCAGGGGTCAGACTGCATCAGGTACAGAGAGCACATTAAAACCACCCTACGCTACAGAAATCGCCTGGATATTCAAACCAACAAGCAAACTAAAAACAGCAGCTAAGGCAGAAAACTATCATTTCCATCTCATCATCCCTCAAACAGTAAAGAGGTCTGCTTACCTACTTGATGGTTTATAGGGATCCCTGCAAAGTAACACCAATGAACACTGCTCTAAACTTTCTACTATCCTTTGTGTCTTAGCAGGCAGTGTGTGTTGCTTTCTTTCTAAAAGCTTATGCTCTTCGTCCTGCAGCACTAAAGAATGGATATATAAAAAGGAATCTACCTCAATGTTCAAGCCAGAAATAACACCAATATAAGGCAGTGAAACATCTCCAGTGAGAAGATGATGTTAGATTATAAACTTTAAATAAGAGAATGTCGTTAACTGTTGTTTATATATGAAAAGAATGTACAGTTAACATTTTAAAATTGTATGATTTTGACTAACAAAAAATCAGGTATATTTATTAGTACCAACTTTTTATTTAAGGAAATTTTCAAACACATAGAAGTTGAAAGATTAGTACAATGAACATTCATAACCTCTACCTCAATTTGACATTTGTTAACATTGCAACTTTTTTGTTTTACCTAACTATGCATGTGTGCATATACATATACATATATAATATATAAGCATGAAGTGACGTCACTCAATCGTGTCCGACTCTTTGTGACCCCACGGACTGTAGCCCCTCCATCTGTGGGGTTCTCTGGGCAAGAATACTGGAGTAGGCTGCCATATCCTTATATATAAAGTATATATAGGGAGGTAAATTTGAGACATTTGTAGGTTTCATGACACTTCACTCCAAAATATCTCAGTCTACAGCTCTTAAGAATAAAGACATTCTCATACCTAATGAAGAAGCACCTGATGAAAACAGTATATGTCATTAAGATTCAACTGCTTAAAGGATACATTTTAGGCCCTTGCACTTTAAAATTTTCAATGAGCTAGAACTCCAAACCCAACCTTCTTAGCTTCATCAGTCATGAGTCTCCCTCACATACACTATTTTCCCATCAAAGAATCTGAGCATCGCATTCTATCAGCTATCAAGTCCTGTTATCTCTGTTTACTCCATGTTCAAACTCCTCTTTCTTCAAAACTCATGGCCACCTGAAATCTTGTGCAAGAAGCATCCCTTGGTTCTTTCACAGCCCTTCTAGAGAACAAAATAACTTCTCCTTTGTGTTATTGTTTTTTAAACATTCTTAGTGCTACCTAGGGTAAAGGCAATTTCTTATATATCTGTATATCATCTATAGCAATTCCAGTAGTTTGCAGGAGATTCTCCACAAATAATTGTTAGATACATAAGTTTTTAAAAATCTCAATTTTATGCACCATGAAAAAGTTAACCTATGAAAAGAGTTAAGTGTTATACCCTATGCAAATTTGTTTCATCTTGATAATCCAACACCTAAAGACCAAATCATGTGCTTAATTTACTGAAATAAATTCAGCACACACAGGACAATCTTTTAAAACTGTAAAACATACTTACCTTATCGTTATTATAATAAGAAATGCTAAGGCCATCAAATTTCACCCATCTCTTCTGAAACATGCGTTTTCTGTAAAACATGAAATTGTCATTTCACATTTTAAGAACCATGAACTTGGATTTTAAATGCATTTGTAACATAACTCTGTTCAGTACATTCCCATTTGCTGTTAAAACAGTCAGGAAAACAATAGGCTGTGATGACACAGTTTAGGCAATGGTACAAAGCAAAGAAGATACATACAATGGTACTTTCTAATCAGCCGGCCTAGGTGTTTTTAGAAAGGATGACTTCTAACAGTGTCATCATTTTTTAAACTGTAACTTACAGTGGCATCTCCACACCTGTAAGGTTGAGTGGGAAACAAAGTGTGGACGGAAACACTGTCATCATATACCCGTCAACACCCATACCCTTTAAAGCCGTAATCCCTTCGTGAAAGTATTAATAATACAAATTTTTATCTTTCATTAAGATTATAACATTTCATCTTAGTGTTTAAATCTCTGCTTTGGAGCATTAATAATGTTTTGCTAAAATAACAAAGCTCTGTCAATTGGATTTACATAGATATATTTAATTCTGATCAAATAAGCTGAAAAGGCCCTGTCTAAATATAGAGAATCATTTGCAATCATCCAAAATTCGCTGAAACATTAACATTTTGAGAAAAAGAATCATATGAAAGGCAAATGCAGTTTAAAATGGTTGTTGACTCGAGAAGCAAAGCAAAATAATGTCATCATATGTTCTCTATTTAGGCAGCAAGGACAAAACAGATCATCCTGACTACATAAGGGAAAACGGAAGACCCACATCTACTCGGGCCTGTTTTCGTTTCCCAGTCCCTTTCACCAGCTAGTCCTGAAGGTTCTGACTGTCTATTCTCTACATGACTCAGCGTGAACTGACACAATCGAGATACCTTTGGCCTTTATCACAGATAATACACAAAAACGAACTTCCTATTTTAAAAGTCATCTCTAAACTAAGCGGATACCCAGGTCTACCTTTTCCTTTTGCAGTTTTCTAACACATTGAAGTTAAGGAAACTGAATAACTTTCTGTGGTTTTCAGAAGACTTAAAGACAGAAAAGCACGTCACGAAGTGTGGAGAACTTTCTTCCCGGCTACTTCCTGAGCCCACACACTTGTTACTCTAATGAAATACAGCAAACCGCCCACGTTGATCACTAGCCAAATTATTCTCCTTAGATAAAATTAGAGCAAACTGATCTGAGAAAAGTTTCAAAATCCATTGGCGTGGACCACACTGTCACATATAAGCACTCAGTTAACCATGAAGTAGTAAGCCTATGATAAGACCTTAAAATTATATAACCACAACCAGCTACCTTGTTCTTTCCAGCTTAGTCCCTCAAACTTCTGCTTCTTTTTAACTTCTCTTGGTCCGTCATGTGCTCTCTTAACCTTGCAACATCCAACAGTGTTGGTTTTTACTTTCTTCACAGACCCAAGGGTTCTTCAAATTGCCAGCATTAAGATTTACAAGATAAAGAAATACTAAGCAAATACACAATAATTATACATTGAATAAAATCACTTAGCTCATTTCATGTTGATCTATCACACTTAAAGGGAGGTAACTAGACATCCTCCCTCCCACACAATCTCAACACTAATTCAACAAATCAAGATTTTGTGTCAGGCGTCTGCCTACCTTACATGCTGAATAGTAGTAAACTAGAGTTCAGTAGTGCATATAATCTCCCATTTTAGAATAAAAATAATCAACACCTGTAGGAGATAAAGGCCGTAGGACCTTCCATTACCCCTCTAACTCCTTGGCTAACTATTCCTTATCTTTCAGAGTTCCACTGAACCACCCACACAGACATTCCTACCCTGACCAATCAATCCAAAGCAAATCACAAAGTCATTCTCCGAAAGCACCCTCTCCTTTTCCTCACACCACTTAACACAGTCTGTGGTTATGTTTGTTGAGTTGCTTAATGTCCTTATGCCTTACAAGGACAAAGTCCAAGGATATTTCATTCTCTACTATATGATCAGCAACTAACACAGAGACAAATATGGCACTAAAAAAGAATCTGTTGAATAAAAGAGTGACATAATTAAGCAAATGTCCCCTTAGCAAAACAGCAAGATGACAAGTAAAAACCTCAACTGACCAGCACTCAAATAATCAGTGTATTTTTAAAGAAAGGCTGGCAGAAGGCAGGAAAATGTCTGAAACCTCAGAGTTAGATTCAGAGTTTCAAAACCTGCCAAAGCACAGAGTAAAAAGAAGTTTAGCTCAATTCCAGAAAAATAAATGACCCAATCCAAAAATGGGCCAAAGAACTAAACAGACATTTCTCCAAAGAAGACATACAGATGGCTAACAAACACATGAAAAGATGCTCAACATCACTCATTACCAGAGAAATGCAAATCAAAACCACAATGAGGTACTATTTCATGCCAGTCAGAATGGCTGCTATCCAAAAGTCTATAAGCAATAAATGCTGGAGAGGGTGTGGAGAAAAGGGAACCCTCTTACACTGTTGGTGGGAATGCAAACTAGTACAGCCACTATGGAGAACAGTGTGGAGATTCCTTAGAAAACTGGAAATAGAACTGCCATATGACCCAGCAATCCCACTTCTGGGCATACACACTGAGGAAACCAGATCTGAAAGAGACACGTGCACCCCAATGTTCATCGCAGCACTGTTTATAATAGCCAGGACATGGAAGCAACCTAGATGCCCATCAGCAGACAAATGGATAAGAAAGCTATGATACATATACACAATGGAATATTACTCAGCCATCAAAAAGAATACATTTGAATCACTTCTAATGAGGTGGGTGAAACTGGAGCCCATTATACAGAGTGAAGTAAGTCAGAAAGAAAAACATCAATACAATATACTAACGCATATATATAGGAATTTAGAAAGATGGTAACGATAACCCTATACGCAAGACAGAAAAAGAGACACAGATGTATAGAACAGACTTTTGGACTCTGTGGGAGAAGGTAAGGGGGGGATGATCTCAGAGAATAGCATTGAAACATGTATATTATCAAGTGTGAAACAGACAGCCAGTCCAGGTTGGATGCATGAGAAAAGTGCTCGGGGCTAGTGCACTGGGAAGACCCAGAGGGACAGGGTGGGGAGCGAGGTGGGAGGGGGGTTCAGGATGGCTGAACCATGTAAATCCATGGCTGATTCATGTCAATGTATGGCAAAAAGCACTACAATATTATAAAATAATTAGCCTCCAACTAATATAAATAAATGAAAATAAATAAATAAATAAAAAAGAAGTTTAGAACCTACTTTAACCTGTCTTACTTAAGATTGTTTAGCTGTAGTCACTTGGACTTAAAGTTTTCTTAGAATTCCATTCGCATCTGGACAGTCTGAGGTCTGAGGCATCATCCAGGAAAACGAGCAGGTGAAGAAGGAGGGCAGACAGCTCAGAGATGCTACCACAGGCCGAGCTACATTTCTCCTCTTAGGCGCTGACTACAAAGAACGCACTTGATACTGGGCTTTCTGAGGAAAGTCTCTGAAGAAAGTCAACCAAAACTCAGCCTCGGAGAGACTCAACTCCTAAAATACTCCAACCATTTTGATTTTCTCAACTACCAGGTGACTACTGCATGTGTTCAGCCACTTCAACCCAATATTTTTGTTTACCTTTTTATTTTGTATCGGGGTATAGCTGATTAACAATGTTATGGTAGTTTTGCAAAGGGACTCAGCCATACATATACATGTAACCATTCTCCCCCAAACTCCCCTCCCATCCAGGCCGCCACATAACATCCAGCAGAGTGCCATGTGCTGCGCACACCAGGTCCTTGTTGGTTATCCCTTTCAAATGCAGCAGTGCGTACAAGTCCATTTCAAACTCCCTAACTATGCCTTCCTCCCACTAGCCATAAGTTCACAAAACATGTATCTTTAATCTACATAAACGGCATGGTGCTATAGATCTCACTGGTTCTCACTTTTTTTTTTCACTTAGCACTGTTTTTAAGATGCTGTGAGATGTGTATCTAAAGGATTAGATATGTCTCTAGTCCTTTGCTTCTAATTGCTGCTGTACCACAGTATAAATCTCTTATATTTTAAAGGTTAAGTCTAATAATCTACGGAAGATCAGGTAAATAAGACAAAAGCCCAGCCCACAACGAAATGGAATGAAAGTGTGGCAGCTGAAAAGTCAACTGTCCCATAGTTGAAGAGAGCCACTTTGCAATCCTACCATTAAAACATTACTTCTGCTATCATTCATTCATCCAGCCAGGCATCAAATCTGTGGAGACCTATTCTGTGGACACTGTCCTCCAACCATACTGTGTTCTCTCTCTAGATTCTTTTTTGCCTTGCGGCCTTCCCATATGCCAAGAAAATGCTGCCTGCTCCTCACACGGCTTTTGAGATCTCAGCTCAAAAGTCATTCGCCTAAGTGGCCACCATTAAGTAACACAAATCCTTCAGGTTCCTTTGGTCTCTTGCTTCATTTCTTTACTTAATGACACTTAGGAGAATTTTCAATTATATATTTGCTTTGTGTCCTCCATCTCCCATACTATTCAATAGATACTGAGATTCTTGAGCACGGAAACCATGTCTTTTTAATCAATGTAAAACCAGCGACTACCACAGTTTCTAGCATATAAAATATGCTCAATATCTAGTGCATATAACAAATAAATGTATTTCTCATTGTAAGATGCTTCCTCAAATTCTCATTTTATGGATAGAGAAAATAAATTACTAACTAAACCACTTTACCCTTAATTTCCTTTTTTGTTCTTTTCAAATACTAAAGATCAGATTTTTACAACAAAAACTTTGTAATTCATCAGTATTTCCATGTAATTTTAAAATACATTTTACAGTTACATCTTTTTAAAATATATTCTTTAAGATATGTGCATTTTTTATCTTCCTATTTAAAGATGCAAATTAATAAATTGTTTCTAAAATTACACATATAATCTGTTTTATTCATTAAATGTGTCAATATTAAATTAGCTATTTTCTGCATGTGAACTTCAATACTAAATTCTACCAGTTGGTTAA